GAAAAAAGCATTATCAAAGCACCTTCGACAGATGGCACCCAGCCTCAGTTTAAAAGCCTCCAAGGAAAAAGCCTCCACCATACTCTAATCTGTTATGGAGGTCATTTTAGATCCTCAACCTGTCTTCTGTAGTATTCGCTATCCTCTGAGGGCCACTAGTACATGTCTATATAGTATATAGGTTCTTTTTATTGCAATTTTCCAGTATGAGGAAGTGGTATCAGAACTTTTACACTTGCACAAAGAATGACATTGAACATACAGATCCTATGTAACTATATTAAATCCACAAGCAACCTACAGTTACGTTGTCTAACAAACAGAGTGAAATTACAGTTTTACTCAGCATTCACATTACCCTTACACACTCATTCATCCTCATGCATACAAATACAAGTAGCACCGGGATTGTGGCACAGCTGGCTGAGTGTTAGCTGCATTAAGATCACTCTGACCAAAAGGTCATGAGTTCGAAGCCATCCCAGGTTGGAGTGTGCTTCCAACCAATTGTGTAGCCTGTTGTTGACCTTTGCAACCCGAAAGCCAGTTGCATCTGTCAAGTAGGAAAATTAGGTACCACCTTAAAAGTGTGGGGAGGCTAAATTAACTAATTTATGAGGCCATAAAAAAATACTCCAGCAAAGCACTCCAGGAAAGCATGCGGGGAATGCGGAAGTACTTCATCAGTGTTGCAGATGGACGATGAAACAACAGCTCCCCTGGCGGCCAGAAAAAGTTAAATTGCCTCTGTGTATGTCTGTATACGTTGTATGTCAAATTGGCATTGAATGTTTGCCATATATGTGCACATTGTAATCCGCCCTGAGTCCCCTGTGGGGTGAGAAGGACGGAATATAAATGCTGTAAATAAATAAATAAATAAATAAATATTACCATATCCTGTCTCCCTTCTTGGAGAAGCACTTGCTTAGGCCAGACCCTGCTTTCCCTGCAGCCTGCCAACGCACAGTTCCAAAACTTCCGAAACCCATCCTCTTTCCCTAAGGATCCTCTTTCTTTAAGGATTCTCTTTCCCTCAAAACTCATCCTCTTTCCCAGGGATCAGATCTGTTTTCCCTACAGCAGAAACCGATCCCCTGCAAATGTATCATGACTCCAAAATGACACTCCTTTCTCTTCCCTTGAGTAAAGGAGCAAATGATCAGGCTGCATTCCATTGCAAACCTACCACTCCCAAATATATACACCAATTACTTCCCAAGGAGCAAAGCATAGCAGGTGGACCAGACTCTTCCGGTGTGCCACAATTTTGGAATGTTATAAGGTCTCTTATATAGCAATATTTCTTGTGATGTTGTTCCAGAGTTGTGAATGAATGATAGATGTTTTTCCAGCCTGAAACATTCTGGCTTTATCTCAGTTCCTGGCAGATGTTGACTCTCCTTAATTGGTGTTGGTAAACATAAGGAGCCTTTTGTTGACTTCCTTCTTAATGTAAGGAACCTTGTAAGCATTTCCTTAACTTAAAGAGCATTTATTTATTTATTTACGTATTTACAGTATTTATATTCTGCCCTTCTCACCCCGCAGGGGACTCAGGATACACTACAGTGTACATATACATGGCAAACATTCAATGCCATAGACACACAACACATATAGACAGACAGTCAGAGGCTATTTAACATTCCAACTTTTCTGGCCACCCGGGGAGTTGTCGCTTCACTGTCCCTCTGCGACACTGACAAAGTACTTCCTCATTCCTCGCATGCTTTTGCTGGAGTCTTTTTTAATGGCCTTGTAAATTAGTTAACTTAGCCTCCCCACATAAGTGGTACCTAATTTTCCTACTTGACAGATGCAACTGTCTTTTAGGTTGCAAAGGTCGACAACAAGCTACACAAAATTGGCAGGAAGCTCACTCCAACCCGGGCTGGCTTCGAACTCATGACCTTTCAGTCAGTAGTGATCTTAATGCAGCTGACTCCCAGCCAGCTGAGCCACAGTCCTGGTATTATATCTGATAATGTAAACATGTTTACCAAAAATTCATCAAGTCAGCAATGTCACCAGTTAATCACTGTCACAGTTCTCATCAGCAACTTTTAATTATAGTCTATGAATTCTTCACCTCCTTTTTGCAGTTTTCCAGGCCTCATTCCTTAGAATTGTATATCTAGACCAGCATTTCTCAACCCTCTAGGTTGCTAGGGGATGTCAAGAGGGGTCGCCAAAGACTATCAGAAAAAACAGGGGGGTTTTTTCTGTTGCTTATGGGGGTTCTGTGTGGGAAGTTTCATCCAATTCTATCCTTGGTGGGGTTCAGAATACACGTTGATTGTAGGTGAAATCCCAGTGATTACAACTCTCAAACGTCAAGGTCTATTATCCCCAAACTCCACCAGTGCTCACATTTGGGCATATTGAGTATTGGTGCCAAGTTTGGTATACATCTATCATTGTTTGATTGCCTGGTGGCGCAGTGGGTTAAACCCCTGTGCCGGCAGGACTGAAGACCGACAGGTTGCAGGTTCGAATCCGGGGAGAGGCGGATAAGCACCTTCTATCGACTCCAGCTCCTCATGCGGGGCATGAGAGAAGCCTCCCACAAGGATGATAAAAGCATCAAATCATCCGGGCGTCCCCTGGACAACGTCCTTGCAGACGGCCAATTATCTCACACCAGAAGCGACTTGCAGTTTCTCAAGTCACTCCTGACATGACAAAAAAAATTGTTTGGGTCCACAGTGTTCTATGAGTGTAGGTGAACTACAACTCCAAAACTCAAGGTCAATGCCCACCAAACCCTTCCAGTATTTTCTGTTGGTAATGAGAGTTCTGTGTGCCAAGTTTGGTTCAATTCCATCATTGGTGGAGTTCAGAATGCTCTTTGATTGTAGGTGAACTATAAATCCCAGCAACTACAACTCCTAAAGGACAAAATCAATCCCCCCGAACCCCACCAGGATTCATATTTAGATGTATTGGATATTTGAGCCAAATTTGGTCCAATGAATGAAAATACATCCTGCATACCAGATATTTACATTACAATTCATAACAGTAGCAAAATTACAGTTATGAAGTAGCAATGAAAATAATGTTATACTTGGGAATCACCACAACTTGAAGAACTGTATTAAGGGATCACAGCATTAGGAAGGTTGAGAAACACTGCTCTAGACTATGTAGACCCCAACCATACATCTTCCATACAATTCAATTCGAATCATACATCATATTTCATGACACATGGTGATATCAGTAAGTGCTATTGCAGTCTGAAAGGGGTGAGAAAATAGCAGTAAGTATAGAGGCAGAAGGATTTGTTGTCGTCTGCTGCAATGTATGTGCAAGTTTTCTCATCCCGCCAGAAAACGTCACTGACTTCACTTGCAAGTATTAAAGAATTAGGTACCATATCAGCTCCTTATTTGTGCAGAATAGCCTCTCAGGCATTGTATAGATATGTGAAACCAGAGATGGTAACAATCCCTATGGAAATGAAAGACTTCTGGTTCAAGAAGACCATGGAGCCGTGCTTGAAAACTTAGACTATGCCGAGAGGGCATCTTTTCCAGATACGGATAAATAAAATTGTAGTACTGTACTGTACCGCTCCTTATAAGCTTGTATTGATACTAGAATAATTTAATGAAAGTATTTGCTTAGCAAGTCTAGTCATTTCATTAATAGCTTTATAGACTACATGGGATTTGCAGGGTTGGGTCCCAGCTCATTTTAATTCATTTGTTGACAAGAGAACGAGCAGAGGCCCTCGTTTAAATGGCATTAATTAAAAGAATACCACACTGCGCCTTTCTTAAATCTCATGTAAATACTCCGCCACATATAAGCTCATGCACCCTGAACTTTAGCAGATTCAGATGTTGGGATAAATGGCAAAGAATTGTCTTGGGAGCCATTTGATGCCCGCATTTGCATTTTCTGCATCTCTGCATATTTGCGGAGCGGACGCATTTCTGAGAATAGAGACATGGCATCCAGAGTGGGATCAACGATTATGCTAAGTGCCCTGTAAAGCACAGGTTCAGTTATGGCCTAATCATATGGGGAACATTATTCTGATCTATTTAGTAAGTTTGTAACAAGGATGCATTTTTTTATTTTGTCCTCTAATTGTTTAGTCAAGGAGAGAAGGTTGCATATTGCAATGTGCGGATACACAACAGAAATTGTGCCAATAGTAAATGTGGGAATGGAGGTGAAAACTGCTCTCAAGGCAGTGTAAGTTTTAAAATAAATGCAAGAGGAACTGTCTGAATGATCACTAAATCCCGCACCTGATAACACACATATAGACCTAGCACCATACTACTCACAGAAAACAGTAAAGTCTTGGAATGATTATTATTTAAGAAAATCAAGGAAGAAAGTGCAAAGGAGGGCTTACAGCCGAATCTCAAGAAAACAATTTCTTCCTTGACCTTCAAAAGTTGTTCCTAGTCTTTGCTATTTTCTGCTACTTGTAAAGTGCTATCTGCATACCTGAAATTGATGGTGTTCTTCCTCCAATTTTCATGCCTCTTGAGTCTAATCCAGTTTTATATCTGATATGTTCAGCATCCAAAAAAGGGGATAATATGCGATCTTGTCTGACTCTCACCAGTTGGGAACCACTATTGATAACCCTCCATTTTATGATTAAAATGCTGTGTAATTATGTGGCACATTCCTAAAACAAGGTGAGTTTCTACCAGCTGTTAGGAATTGTGTGAGTTGAAGTCCAAAACACCTGGAGGACCGAAGTTTGCCCATGCCTGAGTTATATTAATTCCATTGATTTCCTCTAGTAGGGACTAACAGTTGAGTTTTTGGGTTGCATTTGGTTGCATCATTCCAATCTCAACAGATATGATCAGTTCCTGGATGCTTTTGAAATTCGATCCAGTGTTATGTCCTGGGTTCCAAAGTAGAATATGTCTCTGTGGCTGTTCAGATTCGCCTTGAACTCTCTCAGGCATCCAGAGCTCTCCTTTTCGAATGTGAGCTTAATCTCCTTGCTTGCTTTTCTCCAGGCATCCATTGCGACAGTGTCTGTGCCCAAGGACGCTGGGGACCCAACTGCTCCATCGCCTGCAGCTGTGAGAATGGAGGCTCCTGTTCCCCGGAGGATGGGACCTGCGAGTGCGCACCGGGCTTCCGTGGACCCATGTGCCAAAGAAGTAAGGGCCTCTTGCCACAGCCAAAGGGCAACACATACATCCCTTGAGCCATGCTTCCCAGTTCTCCTGGGGGCTCCCTATAGCAAGAACAACAACAAGTCCTAACTTAGAATCGTAGAGTTGAAAGGGGATTCATGGGCCATCTAATTCCCATCTCAGTGCAGGAAGGTCCTTTTGGAGAGGAAATAATAATAATAATAATAACAACAACAACAACAACAACACTTTATTTGTACCCCACTACCATCTCCCCAAGGGACTTGGTGCGGCTTACATGAGGCCGAGCCCGAATACAACAATACAAGCAAAACAGCAACAGTACAAGCAATTAAAATAAAAACATAGACAATAAAATATACAACATTATTAATAAGAGAGGATATAAATACTACTGCTGCTATTAGTACTACTACTTACTACACTGTGTAACATGATTTTGGTTCCTGAGTTATAAATGTCATTTCCTAATTGGTTCTATCATCAAAACATGGCGAAAGTTGATTAAACTGCGAAAACTTTGTTTTTGTGGGACATCCTGTTACAGCACATGTGTAACATGTTTTTTGTTCTTGAGTTATAAGTGTCATTTTCTAATTGGTTCTTTCATCAAAACAGGGGAACATTGATTAAACTGGGGGGGAAATTGTTTTTGCAGGAAGGACATCCTGTAACACATTTTGCTCTAGTTTTTCAATAAATATCTCATCATAGAGTCTCAACCAATTCAACCTAGTTTGTGGCAGCCACAAAAATGAAGTTTCTGGAGTAGAACAACTAATTTCAAAATAAGGACCCCACAATTAAACATAAAATAAAACTTTCAAAACAGGAATAGAAACTTTTTCAAATTTTGTTACATAGTAGTTATTGTTATTATTTACAGCTAAGTTGTTGTTATTATTTACAGCTAAGCACTCAGATGATACTGAATCCCAATCCCCGGGCGAGCAGATCTTAGATTGCTCATAAACAGAATAGAGAATAAACGAACATTGAGATTCAGCAGTATAACAGTCACCCAACACTGTCCTTAATATGACTAGCAAAAACAACAACAACAACAACAACAACACAATACAATAAACAATAACCCTAAATGGTTCTGGTCCAGCTTACCTGTCTGATCGTACCTCTCCTTATGAACCAGCTAGGAGCTTAAGATCTTCTGGGGAGGCCCTGCTCTCGACCCCGCCTTTGTCGCAGGCACGCAGGCAGGGACAAGAGACAGGGCCTCCTCAGTGGTGGCCCCTCAGCTGTGGAACTCCTTCCCTAGGGATATTAGATCAGCTCCCTCCCTCCTGACATTTCAGAAAAAAGTTTGTTTATTTATTTATTTAGGGCTTTTATATCCCGTCTAGGCCGCTCCATGCAGTCATGCCGGCCACATGACCTTGGAGGTGTCTACGGACAACGCTGGCTCTTCGGCTTAGAAATGGAGATGAGCACCACCCCTCAGAGTCAGACATGACTGGACTTAATGTCAGGGAACTACCTTTACCTTTACCTTTAACAACACGTTTGGCCGGGGGGGGGGGGGGCTTGAGGGGCTTCAGCCCCCCCTTGAAATTCTCAGAAGGCCTTATTGGTATATTATTTAAACTGTTATGTTTATTCATATCATGATCTGATTACCATGCTCAATATATCCCATATGCATGGGGGTATTGGGACAATGATACAAAAAGTTTGCTAGGGTAGATCCTGACCTCCCCTTCCCCAAAATCAAAATTATTAATTAATTAATTAATTTAGGGCTTTTATATCCCGTCCTCTCTCAACCTCCGCAGAGGGACTCAGGACGGCTAACAAATCAGCACCCCATGATGCCCACGTCAAAACATAAATATATAATTTAACAGCAATATCAATATAACAATAATAGCAATATAAAACAATATAAAACAGTATAAAACAGTAAAATCCTGGCTCTTCAAACAAGCTTGTGGAAAAACAGCATAACAGATAAACATGGAACTAGGAAAAAGTGAACATGGAACGGCTTAGTCAATGCTTCTGGAAAATGAGTTAACAGGAAGTCACTGGTGATTATATGTTTTTAATTATTTTATATGGTTTTTATAATGTGTGCTAAATGTTTTAATTGTGTTTTATGACTGTGTGGCATCAAATTTCTGCCAATTTGTAAGCTACCTTGAGTCGTCTTTGAGCTGAGAAAGGCAGGATAGAAATACCGTAAATAAATAATAAACACTTTGTTTGTATTCTGCCCTGTCGCCCGAGGGGACTCAGAGCAGATTCCAGCTATCCATAGCACTACTTTGTTACATCCTCCAAATGGTGTAATAGTTGATATCCAAAGGGGCTGGCCGGGCTTTATCACAGCAGGTTGTATATAATCAAGGGCCCAATGCCTTTTTTTGCCAATGAAATGGGCTCTTGAACACTGCAAGTAACGTTTTTTCAATAGAGCCGAAAAGGCCCATTTCCCACTTGATTTCCACTAGTCCTCCTTCCCGCTGCCACAGGCCCTTCTGTCCGAAAGAATTTGTAACCTCTCTTTCTTCCCCTTTTGTATTTAAAAGCTGCGGCAGCCTTGTCCTTGACCCCCTGCTGCTATAAATGGATTTTGAGCATTTCCATTACAAGACCCTTTCTTTCTGGTGCTCGGAAAGCGTTCACTCTCTAGGGTTTTGCAATTCTCCAGTCAAGAACCAAGGGAGACATCTTTTTTGTTTCTACCATGTCTTCAGCATTGGGTTGGCAGCTTTACTTTTACATACTTACTTAGACAATCCCTTGTAGCTTGAATATGATTGGGTTGTTGTAGGGTTTTTTTGGCTATATGGCCATGTTCTAGAGGCATTTTCTCCTGACATTCACCTGCATCTATGGCAAGCATCCTCAGAGGTAGTGACCTCACTACCTCTGAGGATGCTTACCATAGATGCAGGCGAAACGTCAGGAGAAAATGCCTCTAGAACATGACCATATAGCCCAAAAAAAACCTACAACAACCCAGTGATTCCGGCCATGAAAGCCTTCACCAATACATCGAAGATGATTGTCTTCCAGATGTGGTGTCTTGATGGTGGGTCCGTAGGTGGCTGTGAAGCCCTATTCTTGATCTGCATCTTCTCCCACATCGGTTTCTAGGTAAAAGGTGGTTCCAGTCAGGGTTGGTTTGACATGCCTTGGCACGTTTCTCTCTTTCGCCCACCATTCATGCCTCTTCGAATTCCGCAGCACTGCTGGTCACAGCTGACCTCCAGTTAGAATGCTCAAGTTCCAGGGTTTCCCAGTTCTCGGTGTCTATGCCACAGTTTTAAAGGTTGGCTTAAGCCCATCTTTGAATGTTCCCCCAAAAAATTAACAATGAGGATGGTGCCCACCTTTATCCAGAAAGGATAGGCAGGAAACCAGTATTCGCTGAGAAATTGGGGCATGGCATGGCATGGCAAGAACCCTAGCAGATCAACACCCTTTGCCTTCATTATTTGGAAGAAAGTAGGAAGAAAATTCTGGTGACGAAGCTAGAAGAATGCATTGACTGACTTAGGGAAGAAATAAATAGTTGCACATTTGATATTCCAACTATTCATAACACTTGTTATTCCGACTATTCATAACACTTTGTATAAGTGGCTTACTGGAGCCCCCGTTGGCGCAGTGGGTTAAACCCCTGTGCCGGCAGGACTGAAGACCGACAGGTCGCAGGTTCAAATCCGGGGAGAGGTGGATGAGCTCCCTCTATCAGCTCCAGCTCCTCATTCGGGGACATGAGAGAAGCCTCCCACAAGGATGATAAAAACATCAAATAATCTGGATGTCCCCTGGGCAACATCCTTGCAGACGGCCAAGTGACTTGCAGTTTCTCAAATCGCTCCTGACAAGACAAAAAAAAGTGGCTTACTGTTTCTCAGGTCCTGCTTCATCAGGCAAATCAATATTTTTTCCCTAGACAATTCTCTCCTCTTTCAATCTCTTGAAGGTTGCTGTGAGTCCAGAAACTGTAAAGCGCTTTCATTCCAGGAACTATGCATGCATGTCGTTGCAACCGATAGCAGCAACACTGAGGGCTAGGAACTTGGTGAGTTTTTTCCTTCCGTTTATATGACTCCTTTTTTTTCCGATTTCAGTTTGTCCTCCCGGCTTCTATGGGCATCACTGCATCCAGCCATGCCCTCAGTGCATCCACAGCACCGTCCCTTGCCATCACGTCACAGGGCTCTGCGATTGTCTCCCAGGGTTTTTTGGCCCGCTCTGCAACCAAGGTATGATCTCCATCTCTGCTTTGCATAGGAGTACTGCTCAAAGGTGTCCAAATACTTACAGAAGAAAAACTATGGTAAACTTGGCATAAATCTGTAACAGACATGGGGAAACTTTGGCCCTCCCTCCAGGAGTTTTGGACTTCAACTTGCACAATTCCTAACAGCCTCAGGCCCCTTCCTTTTCCCCCTCAGCCACTTAAGTGGCTGAGGGGGGAAAGGAAAGGGCCTGAGGCTGTTAGGAATTGTAGGAGTTGAAGTCCAAAACACCCGGAGGGGTGGCCAAAATTTGCCCATGCCTGTTACAGATTTATGCCAAGCTTACCATAGTTTTTCTTCAAACTGTTTTCCCACCCTGCTTAACAGAAGCCGTAGTTAGACCACTGCTGAAAAAGTCCTCAATTGATCCCCTGGACTTTAATAATTGTAGACCAGTGTACAACCTTCCTTTTTTGGGCAAAGTGATGGTGAAGGCAGTTGCCTTCCAATCCAGGCAGTCTTAGAGGATGCACACTTCCTTGACCCATTTCAAACCGGCTTCAGAGCAGAATCCAGAGCTGGGACTGCTATGGTCACCTTAGTGGATGATCTCCATCTTAACACTGACAAGGGGTGTGGGTTCCATGTTGGTGCTTCTAGGCCTCTCAATGGCCATTGACCATGGTCTCCTTCTGCAACACCTGTAAGGAGGTTTAGGAATTGAGACACTTTCTTGCAATGCTTCCAGTCTTATCTCTGAGGCCAGTTCGAGATGGTGGGGCTTAAGGATAGCTGCTCCTCCACAAAGGAGCTGCTATGTGGTGTCCCACAAGGTGCCATTCGATGCCCAATGTCAGGAGCAAACCACACAGTTGTATTGCATTTTTTAACAAACAAACAAACAAACAGACAAAACACAAAGTTTTCAAGCTTGGTAGTTGATTAAATGTCCTTGGGACCAGTATCTGGCCACTTGGAGTGCCTCTGGTGTCACTATAAGAAGGTCCTCCATCGTGCATGTGGCAGGGCTCAGGTTGCATTGCAGCAGGTGGTCTGTAGTTTGCTCTTCTCTACACTCACATGTCGTGGATTCCACTTTGTAGCCCGTTTCTTAAGATTGGCTCTGCATCTCGTGGTGCCAGAGAGCCGTCTGTTCAGCGCCTTCCAAGTCGCCCAGTCCTCTGTGTGCCCAAGGGGGAGTCTCTCATTTGGTATCAGCCATTGATTGAGGTTCTGGGTTTGAGCTTGCCACTTTTGGACTCTCGCTTGCTGAGGTGTTCCAGCAAGTGTCTCTGTAGATCTTTGAAAACTATTTCTTGATTTAAGTCATTGATGTGCTGGCTGAATACGAGGGTTGAATGAAAAGCAATGCCTCCACCTTTGTAACTTCTCAACAGATGGCAGTACTGGTATGTGGCAGGTGCTGGCTTGTTCAGTAGACTCTCCTCTACAGTTCCATTAGCATTGAATGGCTGTGTTGTTAAAGTGCGAAGTATGTAACCCTGTGCAGACGATCGGTCTGCAAAGATACAGAATGGAGGACGCGTGGCTCGAGAGCAGTCGCCCTTCTCTGGACACATTCCCGTTTGTCAATATCTCTCTTCAACTGTGGTGCCCAGAATTGGACACAATATGCCATGTGTGGTCTAAGCAAGGCAGAATAGAGGGGTAGCATGACTTCCCTGGATCTAGATACTAGACTCCAATTGATGCAGGCCAAAATCCCATTGGCTTTTTTTGCCACCGTATCACATTGTTGGCTAATGTTTAACTTGTTGTTCATGAAGACTCCAAGATCTTTTTCACACGTACTGCTCTCGAGTCACAATTGAAGACCCATCTCTTCCGGCAGGAGATCTACCCGGTCAATTTCAAGTTGTGATTTTAATCTGTACTTTATTGATGGATCTTAATTTGCATTTTAATTCTGTGAATTTTGTTGTATGTCTTTTGATAATGCTTTATCTCTTGTTTTAATGATGTTGTATCGGGCCTCAAGCCGCAGGGAGAGGTGGGTAATACATTTATTACACTATGCCACATGATTATTGTTCCTGAGTTATAAATGTCATTTCCTAATTGGTTCTCTCATCAATACACAGGGAAAGTGTATAAAACTGCAAAAAAACGTTGTCTTTGCGGGAGGGACATCCTACTATAGCACATTTGGCTCTAGTTTTTCAATAGATCTCTCATTGTTGAGTCTCAACCAATCATAGAATCCTAGAGTTGGAAGAGACTTCATGGGCCATCCAGTCCAACCCCCTGCCAAGAAGCAGGAAAATTGCATTCAAAGCACCCCCGACAGATGGCCATCCAACCTCTGTTTAAGAGCTTCCAAAGAAGGAGCCTCCACCACACCCCGAGGCAGAGAGTTCCACTGCTGAACAGCTCTCACAGTCAGGAAATTCTTCCTAATGTTCAGACGGAATCTCCTTTCTTGTAGTTTGAAGCCATTGTTCCGCAACCTAGTATGTGGCAATCACAAAAACAACAAAGTTTCTGGAGGAGAGGAACTACTTTCAAAGTCAGGACTGCACAATTAAATAAAAAATAACACTTTCCAAACAGGAACAGAAATTGTTTCAAATTTTGTTACTTGTTGTTGTTGCTGCTGCTGCTGTTGTTGTTGTTAGGTAAAGGTAATGGTTTCTCCTGACATTAAGTCTAGTCATGTCTGACTCTGGAGATTGGTGCTCATCTTAATTTCTAAGCCGAAGAGCTGGCGTTGTCCATAGGCACCTCCAAGGTCATGTGGCCAGCATGACTGTATGGAGCTCCATTACCATCGCATAGAGGCAGTACCTACTGATCTATTCACACTTGCATGTTTTTGAACTGCTAGGTTGGCAGAAGATGGGCCTAACAGCAGAAGCTCACCTCACTCCCCTGATTCGAACTGCCAAACTTTTGGTCAGTGAGTTCAGCAGCTCAGGAGTTTAACCTACTGCGTCACCAAGGGGCCTATTAATATTAATATTATTATTATTATTAATAATATTAATAATAATAATATAAAAAAAACCCAGAAAGGCTTTGAAATCCAAGCCAGCAAATCCTTCCTAATAGAATTAAAATGCGTACAGCCACTTTAAGTCTCCAGTTTGTAAATAAGCAGCATGTTAATAGGCCTAAATTGAGCAGATGCATTGCTTGGGACTTAAGTATAAATCAAATGCAGGAGGAATGGTAGAGTCCCCTGGCTGTGCCATTGCTTTTCATTGCTGCCAGTTCTTGTGACACTTGTGAATTGTGCTCTTAATAAAGACGTGAGGTATGTGCTTGCAAGTACAAAGTGCCTGCACACCAATCAGAACACCACAAGAAATCTTTCAGGAAATGTTGAATTGGTTGAGTCTCTATGAGATATTCATTGAAAAACTAGAGCAAAATGTGCTGCTGGATGTCACTTCCACAACAACAAAGTTTTGGCAGGGTTGCTGTGAGTCTTCCGGGCTGTCTGGCCATGTTCCAGAAGCATTCTCTCCTGATGTTTCGCCTACATCTATAGCAGGCATCCTCAGAGGTTGTGAGGTCTGTTGGAAACTAGGCAAGTGGGCTTATATATCAGTGGAATGATGTCCAGAGTGGGAGAAAGAACACTTGTCTGCTTGAGGCAAGTGTGAATGTTGCAATTGATCAGCTTGATTGGCATTGAATGGCCTTGCAGCTTCAAAGCCTGGCTGCTTCCTGCCTGGGGGGAAATCCTTTGTTGGAAGGTGTTACCTGGCCCTGATTGTTTCCTGCCTGGAATTCCCCTGTTTCTGAGTGTTGCTTTTTAATTACTGTCCTGATTTTAGAGTTTTTTTTAATTCTGGTTGTCAAATTGTGTTCATTTTCAGGTTTCTTCCTTTCTGTTGAAATTGTCCACATGCTTGTGGATTTCAATGGCTTCTCTGTGTGTCTGACATGATGGTTGATAGAGTGGTCCAGCATTTCTGGGTTCCCCAATAGTGTGCTGTGTCCAGTTTGATTCATCAGGTGCTCTGCTATGGCTGACTTCTCTGGTTGAATTAGTCTGCAGTGACTTTCATGTTCTTTGATTCATGTTTGGTAGTCCCTATGTAGACTTGTCCACTGCTACATGGTATGTGGTAGACTCCTGCAGAGGTGAGAGGATCCCTCTTGTCCTTTGCTGAATGAAGCATTTGTTGCATTTTCTTAGTGAATCTGTAAATAAAGAACAACACTCAGAAAACAGGGGAATTCCAGGCAGGAAACAATCAGGGCCAGCTAACACCTCCCAACAAAGGATTCCCCCAGGCAGGAAGCAGCCAGTCTTTGGAGCTGCAAGGCTATTCAATGCTAACCAAGGTGGCCAAATGGCAACATCCACACTTGCCTCCAACAGACAAGAGTTCTTTCTCCCACACTGGACATCTTCCCACAGATATATAAACCCCATTTTCTTAGTCTCCAACAGACCTCACAACCTCCGAGGATGCCTGCCATAGATGATTCTATATGATTACATATTATCAGTAGTATTATATTTAATATACTAGCTGTACTCACCACACATTGCTGTGGCCAACCTACCCTCCCTCTTTCTCTCCTTCCCTTTTTTTTCTTTCCTTCTCTCCTTCCTTCCTTCCTTCTCTTCTTCTTCCCTTCCTTCCTTGCCACCTTTTCTCTCCCTTCCTCTTTCTGCCCTTTTTTCCTTCTCTACCTATTTTTGGATTGCAACTCCCAGCAGTCCTCCTGATTGCTCTATCTACCTTCCTATCTGTCTCTCTCTCTCTCTCTCTATCTGGAGGATTGCTGTGAGTTGCAGTCCAGGGATAGGAAATTGGGAATATGCAGGGATTGGGATACTGTCAAAGAAATCCAAGGAGAAGAAAGCTTGCATCTTGGAAGCAGTGCATTTGGATCATCCTCCTCTCCTAAAGGGCCTGGTCTAGGGGATGCTGGGAGCTGCAATCCAGAAGAGAGTGTGGATATGCTATTGTGTGTTTTGTTTGCCAGGGGGAGTATTTTTGCTATTTTGGCTTTTTAAGTCCCTTATGCTGTGTTTTTCAGTGTTT